AAAGATAATAACTAGTTAGTTACTTGTTAGCTACATATGTAAGCAATAACACACTCTAGCGGCTCTCCTCTCAAAAACGCTTACACTGTCATATCATGTCGCCCAACAGGAAACCCCAGTTGCAGCTCTTCTGGGGCGTGCGGAATTTTCAGGCTGTATACTTCCTGCCGTTATGATCTGCGAGTCTCTGATCTCTTGGGGCGAAAGGAAAAGAGGAACCCAGGAACCCCCCCTGAAGGAAGAGGAATCCTCGTCCCCAGCGATTTCCACGTGCTCACTGGCTATCGGTGTCCCTCGAAGTTCTGATAGACGAGTGCTTTGGACTTTTCGTCCTGTAGCTCGCTTAAGAACAAGACACTTTCCTGATACCCGTCCAACGGTATCAGTGTCTCTAATTGCCCTCCATAACAAAGCTGTACCATGCGCCCGTGTCCTTTCCTCCCAGCTGTACTGGGTCCCATGGATGATAGACTGCTGGGCTTGTATCGTCATCTTATGGCCTTAGTAGGTATACCAGCTCCCCGTTCCGACATTATCGTTGTGGACGGAGACCGGCCGGCCGTAAAGTGCCTCCTCATACGGACCCCGTTCCGTCCCGCGGGGGTGTTCATCAGCTAGGGCAAGTTGGGTCCGGTTACCAAACTCAAATCATGTTGAAAACCATAAGGATATGGAATAAGGCGGTGGCGCGACAATCGGTCGTGAGTGACTGTAACAGTGCCGATCTGGTCAGGTCAGTCTTGCTTACATTTTGCATCCTAGCAGTCCGAAGGAAAAGTCATACATACACAGGTGTGCGAAAATGGGTTGCGAACTCGCCGCTTGGTAAGGAAGTATGGGAGAGCGAAACAAACGCCTGTGCGAAGCCTGATTTAGCTTCAACACCTCTTTCACCCGCATGGAGTTGTACATCTTCGGGATCGAGCTCTTGGGATCGGCTCACTTAGAGTAATGCACCTCAGGAAGGCATCTCGAATTGATGTGATGTGCTGGGGTGGTAGAAAAGACCGGGTTCTGAATTCGGGAGTGTCCATAATCAACTTGGGAGATAGGATTATTTAGTTTTCCATGATATTATAGAGGATCAATTACTACTTAGTGTTGTTGTCTATCAGCTTCCGAGTCGCTCTGAGTCGGTGGTCGTTCAACGTAGTCGTTCAGAAGGCAAAGACGTTTCGTGGGTCTTATATAGTCTTGATGGTCCTATAGCGCACCACGAGTGGAAGGAGCCTGCTAAGGCCAAACTTACCGATTTGGCTCGCAAAGTCTATGCCAGTAGCTTTTGTTGATCTGGCTACAGAGAGGCAGAGGGGGAGAGAAGAAGGATTGACTCTCTATCGACAAACAGAGGCTAACTAGCAAGCATGGGTGGAAGCCTGACAAACCGGGCATCGATAGATTCTCTGTCTCAACATTTGTTCTTGTTGAAGCTACTGCTACCAGGGGAGAGAGAAGGAAGAAACTACGATCGTTCAATCTAGCAAGAGCAAGCCTTTTATAGGCTGCATCTAACAAACAAGCGCTCAGTCTGCTAGCAACAAACAGAGCCAGACTCCACAGGCATCTATGGGAGATGGGACATGCTGAGGATTGGGGCTATCGAATTTGGTCCAACGTCTAATGTTTGTGGTATATTCTAAGTGCAGGTGACGCGGATGCAAACCATACCTTATTTAAGAGAGCTGCTATAGACATGCTGGGTCGACTGCCGTCTGAAAAAGAAGTATCTTTGTCCAATGAGGTGGTGTCGTCATCCTCGTCTGTTGATGTGGATATTGGGCAATTGTGGTGATGGGCACCTAGGTAGTGCCCCCCAAGTGGGAAATATATCCTACACCGGGCATGACGGAGACATTTTGGTCGGGGAATAAACTAAATCCACTGCTATATCATTCATTATTGGATGACCGGATCGGGTATTATGACGGGCATCTACATCATCGAAACCCCATATATTTGAATTGAAGAAGTCTGACTTTCAAATATCTCCGCGGTTCTCTGCTAGTCCATGTATTGTTCAGTTTCACAATTAATGTCAGAAGACGAGCATATCGGATCTTTCTCAGATCATCTTTATATCTTGTCATTGTTGGTCAATTTCAATTCCACAACCGAATCGACCCTCACATGTCGGCCGGTTTACACGGTCGTTTGTTCAGGAATCCTTTCAATTTTTAGAAGGTAAACCAACATGAGCAGCAATGGGCATAGCAGTAGAGTGCTTCAATCGCTTGGGTCTCCCCACTCTGGGACAGAGGACGGCATCGTCCACTTCCAATCCATCCCCGATCAGCGCCGTTCTTTTTCTGTCTCTTTGGACTCCGAAAAGCCACCGTCAAGTCATACCCCCGCCGCTGGGAGACGCTCGCTTGATGTGCAAGAACGGAACGGTTATATTGTCCTGAACGAAGACGATTGCTATGATCAACTGGGATTTTGCTTCCCAAGCTGGAAAAAATGGATGATCATCTCGGTCATCTTCCTGGTCCAGACCTCGATGAACTTCAATACCAGCTTGTATTCGAATGCCATCGTTGGTATTTCCGAAGAATTTGGTGTTAGTCTCCAGGCTGCTCGCTGTGGTGCTATGATCTACCTAGTGACTTATGCATTTGGCTGCGAGCTGTGGGCACCCTGGAGTGAGGAGTTAGGGCGCAAGCCTATTTTACAACTCAGCATGCTTCTCACGAATATTTGGCAAATCCCTGTTGCTCTTGCGCCCAATTTTGCGACTATTATGGTGGGGAGGGCATTTGGTGGTCTCAGTTTGGCCGGCGGCTCAGTCACACTGGGGATGATAGCAGACTTGTGGGAGCCAGAGCATCAGCACTATGCAGTAGCGTGTGTGGTATTCTCATCAGTGGGCGGTTCAGTCCTAGGGCCTCTGATAGGAGGCTTTGTTGAGGCTTTCCAGCCTTGGCCTTGGGCTATGTGGATTCAGTTGATCTTTGGTGGTTTTGTTCAGATTTGCCATCTGCTGCTTGTTCCTGAGACCCGGGCTACTATCATGATCGATAACTACGCCAAGAAGCAGCGCAAGGCGACTGGCCTTAACGTCTGTGGACCGGATGAATTTCAGCCCTTTAAAGAACGTTTTTCTTGGAGTCAAATCCTTGTCACCTGGATGCGCCCTTTCAAGATGCTGGCAACAGAGCCAATCGTGTTGACCCTGTCTCTACTCAGTGGCTTCAGCGATGCTCTAATCTTCATGTTTATTCAATCTTTCAGCCTGGTCTACGAGCAGTGGGGCTTCAGTACTGTTGCTATAGGCCTTTCCTTTATCCCGATCTTAGTGGGCTATACCATTGCCTGGCTCAGCATGTACCCAGTACTGCATAGGAATTCCGCCAAGAGAAAGAAGAATCCTGATAGTGAACATGCACAATATGAATCCCGGCTCTGGTGGCTACTCTACACTGCCCCGTGTCTCCCCATTGGCCTGATTGGCTTTGCGTGGACGAGTCTAGGGCCCCCAATCCACTGGATAGGAACCATGGTGTTCGCAGCTATCGTTGGTATTGCGAACTATACCATTTACATGACCACCATCGACTACATGATCTGCGCCTACGGTCCTTATTCTGCTTCCGCCACCGGTGGAAATGGCTTCTCAAGAGACATACTCGCAGGTGCTCTCACTGTGCCGGCCACACCATTCTTCAGCAGTACGTTGGTCCTCCGTTCTTATTTTCTTGTTTCAATGTTAGAGGACATAGCTAACATGTGATAACCAGATATCGGTGCTCCGGATCGTAATCTCGAATACGCATCTACCATCCTCTGTATGTGCCCTCCCACACCCCTACACTTGCACTCTGTCAACTAATCCCACTCTTTTAACGCTCTTCCAGTCTGTATCTCATGTCTCCTCGTGGTCTCCGTCTATGTTATCTATTGGAAGGGACCGGTGATGCGCAAAAGATCACCATTCGCCCAGCAACTGTCCGATGCTCGGAAGCAAAGTGCCAGCCGGCGCGCTTCCGCGGCCTACTCCAGATCGGCGCCCCAGTCGCGCAGGCCAAGTGCTAGAGCAGACACTGGTGTTGTGGATTGACTTGAGTTCACCACCGCACAGGCGTCGTATATACACCTAAGGTCCAAGTTCATTATCATGGTTATTCGTATAGATCGTACAGTAATTATTTACGCCGGTGCGGCTCTGCCCCTGGTCTGTACCGGCTTCATATCATAGTAGGATTCATAGAAGTTGACGGGTTATGCATTACATGAGATGATATAATACATGAGAATTCATATCACCCAGCGGACTAAAATTTAGTGAACTGAATCCGCGATTTCCTTTACCTGTTGTGTTAGTTTTCGGGTACCCGCGAGTTGACGCGACTCTGAAATAGATAGATCCATACGCACAACGCGACTATGGATCAAAGGCGGCAAGATATGAGCACTAAAGCGGAACGAGGGCCAGGCGTTCATCATATTTTATAGATGCTAATGACGCTAGTCCCGAACTAGATAAGGGCACTTCCTTAAATTTTTAGAGGCAGGCGGTCGACGATGGCATATCAGCGATAAGATCGAAAGTTGGAACATCTTCGCCATCTGGGGATGGTATCGTGAACAAGGATTGTCGACGCCGCTGAAAATGGCGCTCCAACAACGTGAGTGATGCTATCTTGAAGATTTAGAATTGGTATGCTGACAATAATGCAGATGAGCCCGCGCCATTCGCGCCTCAATCCTCGTACGCCATCTGCCCATAGAGTGGACTATATCATCTTGCTAACACCCTCTTAGCTTGTCCTTTACCCAAGGGTTTCTTCTCGGTCAGCTCTCGGTAGTACTGCTGATTGGCGCTTTCATCAAATTTTTCATTTTTGGTGAAGCACCACCCCCTCCATCCCGGGGCATGTCAAACCGCACAACCCACCGCCGCTACAGCTCGGTCTATAACCCCCCTCAAGATAGCCAGAAATCATTACGAGAAAAGCCGTCCACGTCGAATGTTCTTCGTCCTGTACCTTCCACCTCTACAAACACCCGCTCCATCCTCCGCAAAACCTACTACAGTGCCATTCCTACAAACCCTACGAGCAAACATGGCCGACACCGCATGCATCACTCCTCGCATCAGCCTGAGTCGTTGGACTGGTTCAATGTACTCATTGCACAGACAATTGCTCAGTACAGGGAGACAGCCTATTCCCTCAAGGACTCGCCCACTTCGTCAATCCTCAGCTCCCTAACAGCGGCCATGAACAACCCGGAGAAGAAACCATCCTTCATAGACAAAATAAACGTGACTGATATCTCACTGGGCGAAGAGTTTCCGATCTTCAGCAACTGCCGCATCATCGCCGTTGACGACCCCATGTCGGACGGTGGACGCCTACAGGCGCTGCTGGATGTCGACCTCAGCGACGACAACCTTTCCATTGCCGTCGAGACATCCATGGTTCTGAACTACCCCAAACCACGCTCTGCCATCATACCAGTAGCGCTATCAGTGTCGGTTGTGAGATTTTCTGGAACGCTTTGCATATCCTTGATCCCCGCGTCGACCGAACCGCCGGAACCACTTCAAACGCCTGCCGGATCACCAGCTCCCCCCACCTCAGACCCAGGGCACAATCCGGGGAATCGAGCCTCTGGGCCTGGAGAGCACACAGGCTCGCAAGACCAGCTCCCACCAAAAAGCAGCCCGAAAAGCAACGTCGCATTTTCTTTCCTCCCAGATTACCGCCTAGACCTCTCCGTGCGCTCACTCATCGGATCCCGCAGCCGACTGCAGGATGTACCGAAAATAGCCCAGCTCGTTGAAGCACGAGTCCACGCATGGTTTGAGGAGCGCGTCGTCGAGCCTCGAGTGCAAGTAGTCGGACTTCCAGACCTGTGGCCGCGCATGGGCAGAACAGGCGTTCGGCCCGGTGAGGACTCGGAGGCCGGGTCAACAGCACCGCCGCATAGCGCAGGTTCTACTGAGGCATCAGGGCCGCCCCGGTTTTCCGACGGCCATGGTCGGGAACCTGAGGGGCTGCGGTTCCGTGGGGCCCTGGATTCACGGTTAGGGCTTGGCGCTGGCTCGCGCACGAATAGTTTCAATGTTGATATGGGTGGCTTGCGCAGCTCTAGTATGACGAGGCAACAGAGTGGTGGCGCTACGAGTGACCATTTTGAGATGCCTGGTGCCATGCCGGCGGGTACGCCAGTTGGGACGCCTGGCATCCCAGACAATTGATATACGTAAAAAAGCGTCCTTCGACCCATTGCTACCCACTTAGGCATGATTTCGATTGATCTACTGTGGGTTTGCTGTCCCCGTGTACATTTAAAAGCTCCCTGCAATGGAAGCGATGTAAGAGAATATAAAAAGAAAATCCGTTCAGTAGTATATGTGCAAAGAATTCAGTCATAACGCATCTCAATGTCGAATCAAAGTGACCAATCCTAAACAGCGGCAGTAGAACTGACAACAGTCTCCAGATAAGTCTTGCGGTGCGGGTTAGCATCAACCTCCGCACCACGGTTCAACGGTGTCCACTTAGGCTCGTCTTGGAAAAGACGCATGGCCTTAACATACTGCAAACAAAGTCAGTCCCATAACCCACAACCACAAAAGCCCAAAAAGAAATCTTAATCTTACGTTCTGCTCATTGGTAGTAAACCGATGATAAATCCCCGCAGGAAGAATGATCATATCCTCCTTAACAAGGCAGATACGAATCCACTCGTCCTCCTGGCCACGCACATCAAAATATCCTTCCCCGTCGAGAATGTACCGAATCTCCTCGTCCTCATGCAGATGCTCCGAGAAGAATGACTTAACCTTCTCCTCGTATATGGCGCCCATCGTCGCAGGTGACACGCAGACCTCGTCGCGGTTACGGTATCCGCGCTCCGCGGCGATCTTGTCCACAGCCGCGATCGTCGGGCAGTGCTTGTACAGCACGCCTAGCGAGGCGAGCTTCTCTTCTGATACGGCGCGGCCAGAGTCGTGCGGCTCGCGCTGGTCGCCCTGTAAACAAATGACATCAGCGCTTGTTCTAGTCTGAGGTGGGCTGTACTGGAAATGCTTGGAAAGCTAGGTACAGTCAATTGGTATGTGTTTACCTCAACGTTGTCGTACCAGTATGCCTTCATTTTTGGGCCTGTCTCAATGGTTGAGCTGGTAGATTTAAAGATGTAGAGAGGGATCAGGCGTAGAAAAAGGGTCCAGATCAGCTTCCAGCTGAACATCATCAGCCCCGCAATTGGCCGATGGCGCAAGCGCTTATGTCAGGGTGTGACCGCCCTCGGGGTTAGCGGTTATAAGGATAATCACGTGATGTATACAATTTTGCTTATCGATTTGATTGATTTCAAGTTTGTACGGATTACCTGGTTTTTGGTTAACATTTGCATCGCATCTCGCCATGGCTTTTCGGGCACGGTCGGTGGCTCTGATGCGTCAGAGCCGCGGACTCCGCTCATTTATGGGCGGGAGTCGTGGCTTCGCGACTGTTACGGACAATACACGGTTCGTGATTTCTCCCCTGTTGAGTTCGAAGAGTCTTGCTAATCAATTCATTTGTAGACCATACGACGTGATTGTTATTGGTGGAGGCCATGCTGGATCTGAGGCATGCGCTGCTGCTGCTCGTTCTGGCGCGCGCACTGCGTTAGTCACGCCCTCGTTGGAGAATATCGGTGTTTGTTCGTGCAATCCCAGTTTTGGCGGCATTGGAAAGGGAACGATGATCCGCGAGGTGGATGCGATGGACGGCGTTGCAGGGCGAATCATCGATAAGGCTGGTGTCATGTTTCGAGTCTTGAACCGTTCTAAAGGGCCGGCTGTTTGGGGACCACGTGCGCAGATCGATCGCGATCTCTACAAGCGGTATATGTCCGAGGAGCTGGCTGGCACAGAAAATCTGAGCATTGTGGAGGGCAAGGTGGCTGATATTGTGCTCTCCACGGAAGGCATTGAGAACACCCCTGGCGCTCAGGGCAAGATTGTTGGCGTGCGGTTGGAATCCGGGGAGGTCATTCCTACGGGTCGTGTGGTTATCACTACGGGCACATTCCTAGGTGGTGAGATTCATATTGGAATGGATGTGTTCCCTTCGGGACGCATGGGTGAGGCCCCCACATATGGTCTGAGCAAGTCCCTCCGTGAAGCTGGCTTCCAACTGGGACGCTTGAAGACCGGTACGCCACCTCGATTGGATAAGAAGACCATTGATTTCAGCGCCCTTGAAGTGCAAAAGGGTGACTCGCCTCCTCACCCTTTCTCCTACCTCAACAAAACTGTCGAAGTGGGCGACGAAGGCCAGCTTACCTGCTGGATGACCCATACAAACGAAGCTGCCCATGAAATTATCCGCGCGAACCTGGAGAAATCCATCCATATTCGTGAGACTGTGCGTGGGCCACGATACTGTCCCTCCCTGGAGTCAAAGATCATCCGATTCAAGGACAAGACCCAGCACCAGATCTGGCTCGAGCCAGAAGGCTTCGCGCCAAACGACGTCATCTACCCGAATGGCATTTCAATGACCGTGCCCGCAGACGCCCAATACGCCATGTTGCGAGTAGTCCGCGGTCTCGAGAACGTAACCATGCTCCAGCCCGGCTACGGCGTCGAATACGACTACATTGACCCCCGCAACCTGCGACCAACCCTAGAGACAAAACTGATCAGTGGTCTCTACCTCGCCGGCCAAATAAACGGCACGACCGGCTACGAAGAAGCAGCTGGACAAGGCATCATCGCAGGCACAAACGCCGGTCTTGAGTCACAAAGCCGATCGCCCCTCACCCTGACCCGGTCAGACGGCTTCATCGGAATCATGATCGATGACCTCATCACCAAGGGCGTCTCGGAGCCCTACCGCATGTTTACGACTCGAAGCGAGTACCGTATCTCCACCCGCTCCGACAACGCCGACCTTCGTCTGACTCGTATGGCCCGTAATGCCGGCGTCGTCTCTGACAAGCGTTGGAGCCACTTCTCCGATACAGAAGCGCAGATCCTGGAGCTGCAGACTCTCCTTGGAAACACAAAGCTTTCATCGTCTGCTTGGTCGCGCAAGGGCTTCAAGGTGCGCTCTGATA